GGGGGGGAGAAAGAGGGAGGGTCAGAGGCGCCCGCCGGCCACGCCCTCTCGCTCCCCCTCCCCCCCCGCCCGCAGGCCCCGCCCTCACCGCCGCCCCGGCCGCCGGCTCCCCGTCGCCCGCCCCGGCCGCCGCCGCCTCCTCTTCCTCCTCGTCGTCGGGCTCCTCGTCCTGCGCCGGCGGCGGCTCGACCTCCCGGGCGGCCCCCATGCTCCGCCGAGCCTCCCGGGCCGCGGGCGCGCCTCCCTGACGTCACCGCCGCGCGACGGCCCCCAACCCGGAAGCGGCGCGCGTTGCCCGGCAACGGCAGGCTTAGCTCTCTCTCTCTCTCTCTCCCCCCACCCCCGCCCAGGGAGGCCCCCCCTCGAGGAAGCGGGCGGGGCCTGCCAGACCCCCTCTTGAGGTTGGGGCACTCTTGTAGATTTCCCCCCCATCGAGCCCCCCCCCGGACTGTTCTGCCCCCAAGGAAGGAGGGCGAGGGGCTCCTTTGACCCCCCATGAGGGGTTTCACTCCTGGCTCTCGGGGGGGGGGCTCCTGGACCTGGAAGGGCAGACCAAAACTGAGCCCCAAATTTCCTTTGCTAAGCAAGACGGCAGTTAAGTGAAGTTGGCCCCGCTTTACGACCTTTCTTGCCACCGTTGTAAAAGGAATCGCTGAGGTTGTTAAGTGAATCTAGCGTCCCATTGACTTTGCTTGCCAGAAAGGTGGCAAAGGGGGAAATCACGTGACCACGGGGACGCTGCAACCGTCATAAATATGAGTCACTTGGTAAGCCTCTGAATTTCGATCACGTGACCATGGGGATGTTGCAAGGGTCGTGAGCAGGGGCGGGATTCAGCCGGTTCCCAACACTTCGGCAGAACCGGTAGCTAATTTTTGGTTGCCCAGGCCCAGAATGGACTTCCGGAAGCGGCATCCACACACAGAACCAGTTGTTCACCTGTTTGAATCCCACCACTGGTCGTAAGTGTGAAAAACGGTCATAAGTCACTTTTTTCAGTGCCGTTGTAACTTTGAACGGTCACTAAATGAAAGGTCGTAAGTCAAGGACTACCTGTGGTCACCACTTGTGGGACTAGAGACTCTGGGAGGGGGGCAAATGAGGGGTTTTGCTTCCTGGCAGTCTCGGAAGGCAGCCAGTTGGGCTTACCAATGTTCAGCCTTCTGGGCTTCCTTCTGTGGGTTTCTTCCCTTTTTTTAAGAATTGCCACATCCGGTGCAAGAGAGACGTGACATCATGCCCTGGCCTCACCTTAGAAGTCATGAAAAGACATTTTGTTTTTGTTTGTTTTTTAAACAAATTTATATAGTCCCAAAGGTGCTTTTCCCAGTATTTGAGGGTCTGCCACAAAGGAGAGGGGGGTCAGGTTATTCTCCAAAGCACCAGAGGGCAAGACAAGAAACAATGGTTGGAAACTGATCAAATAGAGAAGCAACCTGGAATTAAGGAGAAACTTCCTGACAGTGAGAACAATTAACCAGTGGAACAGCTTGCCTCCAGAAATCAGGGGCGCTCCATCACTGGAGATTTTAAAGAAGAGACTGGACATTCACCTGTCTGAGATGGTATAGGTTCTCCTGCTTGAGCAGGGGGCTGGACTAGAAGACCTCCAAGGTCCCTTCCAGCTCTATTCAAAACTGGACTTTCTTGTTTTTAATTTAATTTAATTTAATAATTTAATTTATATACCGCCCTTCTCCCGTAGGACTCAGGGCGGTGCACAGCATATTAAAACAGACAAACAAAATACATCAAAGAACAAAAAACCCCCATAAAACCAAATTAAAAGCCAAATATTCGAAGCTGTGTGTCAATTAAAATTTTCTTAAAATCATCCCTACCTAAAATC